GGCCATGACTCCAAAGGGCCTTCATTTCCCAGGCATTCCCATCCTCTGAATAAAGATGATGTTTAATGACAGCATGCGTGGGGAAGGAAAGTATGGGGACAATCTTCATCAGGATTGTGGAGGAAATGAAAGGTTAAACTTCCCCTTGATCCATGTCCCCCACTGTCCCATCCCAGCCCCATACACAGCTGCTCTGCAGGTCACAGCTGTGCAATGGTGAAAAACAGTGGTGCTGTGTCAACCCAGCTCCCTTTCCTCCACTGCTCAACTGTTTGCCTTCTATCAGATTACCACCAGGGGGTGGGGGGGAGGGTGTCTCTGCTTTCAAAGTGCTCTTCTTCCACTATTCAGGCACAGGGAGGGCTGCTTTTCCCCTGCAAGGCAGGCAGGTTTGGGTGGAGCATGCCAGAGGATTTGCAGGACCACTAACAATATCACACTGCTAAATTTAACTGCTCTTCTCAGTCTCAGTCCTCTGACACGCCTAGGCACAGGTGGCAGCCAGTGGCCCAGATGTTCTCCATCCACAACAAAGAGAATTCCAGACTGCTTAATGCTTAACAAGGTTCTTGAGCATATAAAGATATCCCCAGGGGGTCATCTAATTCAGCCTCTTCGTACCATCAGCTAGCTGCCAGATAGATGATGCCAGAATCCCGCAAGCAAGGCAAAAAGGCAATGGTCTTCTTTGCAGCTGGTATTGACACCTGCTGCTTCTGGAGGTAAGTTACCATGGCTAATCATGGACCTTAGAATTTGTTGAACCCCTTTCTTAAAGCCTTCAAGGAACTAACAAGATGAGACATTAAGTGTACTTTTGCATTTAACAAGTAAGTTTTAAAAATGCAAATAATACCAAACCAGAATTTGTACTGTGAGGAATTTTCTCCATTTCCAGCTTCAGAGGAGGGATTTCTGTAAAAAGACTTATAATTGCTGTTTTACAGCAGTTCTTTTTGTATTGGTGTTTCATAGGGTGTGTTTTGAAGGTTCAGTTTCTACTTTGAGTAGAAACTGTAGCAGAATAGTAGAGTTGGAAGTGCCCAGAAGGTCATTGGGTCCAACCCCACGCTACTGCGGACACATAAGTTCCACCATTCCAATTATAGAATAGAATCATAGAATAGTAGTTTTGGTAGGGGTCTCAAGAGGAATAATCTGATTTTTTTCTTTAGATTGTGCAAACTCTAGGGATAGACAATTGTTCCACTAGTAAGTGAACACTCACTATGGCTAGGTATTGATGGTATCATCAAACGGCTTCAAGTTTCAGAATAATATGTGTAGTGGAGAATTTGGGGAATTTCCACTTAGAAATAGAAGTTCCCTCAGTCTTGCCTCGTAGGGCATCCCCTGCAAACCAGACACCAACCTTGTGGCCCTACGTTGCACTCTAATCTGGCTATATCCTTTCTGTAACAAGGGGCCCAACATATCCTGTAACATATCCCCTCTGAGTCTCCTCCAGGCTGAAGAGACCCAGTTCCCCCAGTCTCGCCTCATACCCCATCCCCTGCAAACCAGGCACCAAACTTGTGGTGCACTGACTCTAACATGGCTATAGCCTTCCTGTAACGAGGGGCCCAAAACTGAGCGCAGTACTCCAGTTGCGGGCGCACCAGAGTCATATAGACCGGTAGTAATACCTCTCTAGATCTAGAAGCCATGCTTCTGGCTATGCAACCAAGGGTGGCGTTCACCCTCTTAACCACCGCATTGCACTGCTGACTTATGTTTACCCTGCAGTCAACCAGAACCCTGAGATTCCTTTCACAAGTGCTGCTCTCCAGTCACTTGTCCCCTAACCTGTATTTATGACACTCATCCCTATGCCTCAAGTGCAAGACCTTGCACTTAGCCACATTGAATGCCATCCTGTTGTCCCCTGCCCACTTCCATAGTCTGTCCAGATCCTTTTGCATTTGGAGTACGTGCTCCTCAGTAGTGGTTTTAGCATCGTCTGCAAATTTGTTCAGCAGACTGTTCACCCCTCCTTCCATGTCATTGATGAAAAGATTAAACAGGATCGGCCTCAGGACAGAGCCCTGGGGGTCCCCGCTTGTCACTGGCTGCCATCCCGATGATTCCCCACTAATGGTCACCCTCTCCTTTCGGTCAGTCAACCATGCCTTAATCCATCGGACAGTGCATTGGTCTATCTCAAAACTCCTCAATTTCTCAAGCAGGATATCATGAGGCACTTTGTGAAAGGCCTTGCTGAAATCCAGGTAAACCACATCCACTCCATCCTCTTCATCTAGCCACCCTGAAACCTTGTAATACAATTCCACAAGGTTAGTCTAGCAGTAGTTGTGCTGAATGATTTTTCCCCTTTATTATTTCTTTGCTTCTAACTCTAACTTTCTGCTCTTTCAGGAATATGCCCTTCCATCCAAAATTACAGCCATGGTCCTGGTGAAGGGGTGCACTAAGTGTTGTTGGTTTTTTAAAATAGATATGCAGGGGGTTTTGTGTATCTTGTGTTGTTTCTTTTTCCTATTGTATTATGTATTTTGTAATTGCATTCTTTAAAAAATCCATAAAGAAAAGGAAGTGCTGGATGGGGCTCAGGAGATTCATGGTTATTTCATTATTGATTATGCTTATATCCTGCCATTTTTTTCTCCCAAGGAACTCAATATGGCTTACATAATTCTTTTGTTCCTCTCAATCTTATCCTCACAACAGTAACCCTGTGGGGTAGGTTGGCTGAGGATCCGTGACTGGCCCAAAGCCATTCAGTTCGCTTTATGGCTGAGTGGGAACTAGAACCCAGATCTCCTGAGTCCCAGTCCCATGCTTTTAGCCACTATACTACACTGGCTCTTTAGCCCCCACTCAGTCATGAAGCTCATCATGTGACTTTAAGCCAGTCACTTACTCTCAGACTAGCCGCCAACTTCACAGAGTGGTTGTTGTGAGGATAAGAGGAAGAGAACCTTGTAAGCTACATTAGGTTCCTTGCAAGAGTCAAAATGCAGGATATCAATGTAGTGTAAGAATAAGAATACACTTGAAAACATTTTTATTTTCCTTTTGGTGAACAAATGTTTGGCTTCATCTGGGCCAAATAGAATGTTTTTCTTTATATGCTGTTTGACTTGTGAGCCTCTAGCTAGTTTCCCTTGCACTAGAGAGACATTTCCTATTCTGCCTTTTTTCATGTAACCATCTCCACTGACAGAATGGCTGCATTCATACATCACAACAAGCAACCAGGCGTGGATTCCATGCTGCACACTTTTTTGACTGGATAAGCCTGACAGACAATGAACCGGTTTCTGTGCTAGCTTGGTTCCCTCCCTCCTTGCTCATTCCTGAAGCTGTTGGCACATATCCCAACAGCCACCACAACTGAAATTCAACTTCATGCTGTAGCAGCTGCCACTCTTTCCAGGGGACTGTGGTAGCTGCATACCAGGACTATGGAAACCATAGAACAGACCATTGTTTCTTATCATGATTTCTGAAAACCAAAGGCACAAAATACAACAAGGTTCAGATCATTTGTCAGGATCAGTGCCTTCTTTACCTGCAAGTGCCTGCAGAACCAGGAACACCCTTGCATGGCTTGCAGTGAGCTGCTGTGTAGCACTTATGCCATGAAGCTGGAAGCCCTGCAGAGCAGCGTGAAAGGCTGTCCTGCACTGCTGCTCATTGCCACAGCAACACAAGCTGTTCTGGTGGCTACTTTGTGCTTCGACTTAGTGCATCTCTAGCCTGTTCTTATCTCGTATTCCTGTCTCCATCCTTGTTTCCAGTGTGACCCTGCCCTACCAGGTACCTGCACCCACCCTCCATGACTTGACTTTGCTCCCGAACATGACTGTGCTCTTGGACTGGGCATTTTGCCTGAACCTTGTTTCATGCTGGCTCTTACCTCAGACTGTTCCAGGATGCGCCTCTTGCCTCTGGACATCTAAACTGGGTGCAAGCCTCCACCCTGCCTCTGCATCCTGGTCCCAGCATCTTGCCACAGCTGCTTACTGCCAACACCATGGACCTGAACCCATTCTGCACAAGAAACCATTGTGGTTGTTGTGTCCTGTGAACCCACTCGGCAACAAGAGGCAGCAATGCCAAGGCCACTTGAATCTTGTCATCACCCTGCTGTTCAAGTTAAATTGAAAGATAGAAGAAAACTGTACAATAGCTGTACAAATAGGGTAGTGGTCTCTGTCTAGAATCCCTAACAATACTTCCTCTCTACATACATATCCTAAGACTAAATGAGATCCTTCTTTTTTTTTCCCCATTGAATTTCTGACAGAATGCAACTATTTAATTGAACTGTTTCTGCATACTTTGTGTAGTCTGTTAATATTGAATTAATTCAGACATAATTAATACTGCTATAAGTGCACCTTCTATACAATTATTCTTTATTAAAATCTGTTGTCCATTATTTTGATGCAGAAAGTTATGTCACAGCTTCATTCACAAAGAGTCCCCTGGAAAAACCCTTCAGAATACCTTATGCCAGCATGACCTCAAACCACTTGAAACACCAGTACTGGACAGCTGTTGGCCACAAGGCCCCAGCCTTTGCCTATGATTTGTATTTGAGGCTAACTGGAAGGAAGCCAAGGTGAAGGAACAGAAGGAACCATTCTGTTTCTAACAGTGACATATCCTGAATACTCATGTTGGTAGAGGAAAAGGTATGATAGTCCAGATTACTCTAATTTTCAGTCTAGAATCCTGACACATTCTTTTCACCATTTCATTCAAAAGATCTAGCTTCAACAGTTTGCTGCTTCCAGATATTTCAGTCTACTACACCCACTTTGAAACATGCTAACACATGGTTTGTTTTTTTTTTACTCCACTGTGACCATTTATGGTGTTCATGCTGTGACTGTGGAGTGAGCAAAACAAGCAGCATATAGTATAGTTCCCGGCTGCTCAAAGTATCCACTCAACAGTGGTGGAGAGCATCCAAGGCATCTGGAGGTCTTGTAGTATATGGTTGTGTCACCTACCAGAGACAGCTCTTACAACAAAAGTATGAAATGATTTCCTGGGTTTAGCAACATCTGCAATGCTGAGCGCAACAGCCTAACAATCTTCTGTGGAAAAGATTTTTCTTTTCTTCTTTCAGTTTGTCAACTGTCAGCTTTTTCTTTTCTTTTTGCTCTAGAAAATAGAACAAAACTTTTTTTAAAAGTTTGATTCCAGAGACATAAATTAATCACACAATATTCTTAAAATTTCAGATATTCTTATTTAATCTGTAGATGCTGTCTATGCAAGAGTCAGCAGACACCTGTCCAGAAGATGCTGGGGTGGTTTATACCTACCACTTATGTACTCTCCGGTGAGCAACAAGGTAGGCATTGCGACTGAAACTTTTCCCACACTGCATGCATTTAAAGGGCTTTTCACCTATGTAGGTCCTCCGGTGTCTGATCAGAGTAGACTTGTCACTGAAGCCGGTTCTGCATTCAGAGCATTCATATGGCTTCTCACCTGTGTGTGTTTGGTGATGCTGTATGAGATGTGAGCCCTGGCTGAAGTTTTTCCCACATTCTGAGCACCTGTATGGCTTCTCTCCTGTGTGGGTCCATTGGTGGATAGAGAGCTTAGAGCTCTCACTAAAACATTTACCACAGTCAGGGTATTTGTAGGGTTTCTCACCTGTATGTAGTCTCTGATGAGTCCCAAGGTTAGAGCTGTCACTGAAACATTTCCCATAATCTGGGCACATGTATGGTTTCCGCCCTATATGTCAGCTGGCATGTTGAAGAAGACCTGAGTTCTGGTAGAAGTGTCTTCCACATTTGCCACACACATATGGACTTTCTCCAATGTGATTGTGCTGATGCTGGATGAGGTGTGTGCTCTGGGTAAAGGTCTTCCCGCAATCTTGACACTTGTATGGTCTTTCTCCTGTATGAATTTGCCCATGCTGAATGAGGTGTGAATGCCTACTGAAGCTCTTTCCACAGTCCACACACATATATGGTTTCTCTCCTGTGTGGATCCTTTGATGTCTGACCAGGTCTTAGCTCTGGCTGAAGCTTTGTCCACATTCAACACAGATATATGGCTTCTCTCCTGGAAGAATGTTTTGTTGAACAATAATGCCTTTCTGTTTCCTGAAGCCTCTTTTACAATGATGGTTCTTTTCTTGCCCCTGCTCAGTAGAATCAACATCCTGGGCCTCACACACTATTTCTGAGCCAGGATTTGCATTCATGACAAATAAGTCACAGAACAATTCAAGACCTTTGGAATTCTCAGAACTTTGCACCAGGAATATTGTTTCATCCCCACTGTCAGTCATGTTTCCATCACTTGCTGGAATAAAACAGTTATTTAAACACACATCTGTATTAATAAGTTCTGTGTCAGCAAAGTCCCTTGTTTTCTGCCCACTATCTTAATTTTCATTTCATTTCTATACTGCCCAATGGCCAAAGTTCTCTGGATGGTTCATAACACTACAACATAACATTTTTCCAATATACAACATTCGGAACAGCTGAAACAATGTGAGTACAAACTAGACCATACCTAAAAATAGCTGACCTAAATGCACCATCTTGCTATCAGATATCGTTATTTGCCATTAAATGCCTGGGAGAAAAAGACAAGCTTAACCTGAAACCAAAAATGCTAGGTGAGTGTAATGGGATCAGGAGGGAGGGGCACAATGAAGGCTCCCGTTCCCTAACTGCCATGCAAGGCCCACAAAGAAAGTAAGCTTGTTCACCAGGTTCCTTTATTGCAGCTCACAGTTTCCTGTTGTGGCTGTGCTTCCTGAAATGCTTGAACCCTTCCTCCTTCCCAGACCTAGGGTAAGTGGCATCTTGGTGCACCAGGGAAATGCACCTTCCTTGTGTGCATTTTCCCCTCACCGCTTCTGTTGGGTTATCAGTGCCTTGGGACACTCTAACAAGCAAAGCCGGCTGGTTCCAGGCTTCCACACCCAAAGCTCCCTTTAGTGTCTTTTTCTGTCCTTCCCTCTTCTCCATGTCTCTCGTGTTCTCCTCCTTTTCCACACACCCCTTTCTAGCACAGCCTCCTCCTTTATTACCCCATCTTAACTGCAACTCCATCCACCCCAGCTGTTCCTGCCTCAGCTGATAATCCTGTGCAACTGCATGCACATACCCACACATCTCAGCAATCGGAGTCCCATGCCTTGTTCTGCCCAAGAACATTCCTGATTTTGCATTGTCACCATTGGCCCTTCTCTGCTAAATGTCAAGGGAAGATGGATGAATGCCTCTACCTTTTCACAGTAAGCTTTCCTGAGATCATTCCATAATGTGTATGGGGGGGTTGCCACTGAGATGGCCCTTTCCCTTGTTGTGACCCTCCAAGCCTCCCTCAGAATGGGCATACAGAAGATGGCCTCACATACTGATCATAGCATCCAGGTAGATACAGATTGGAAGAGGCACTCTATCAAGTATTGCAATTGCTGGATGTGTAAGGCTTTATAGGTTAAAACTAGCACCTTGAATTGGGCTCAAAAGTATACATCCAGCCATTGCAAGCAGGCCAAAATTAGTATTATGTGCTCAGAGCTTCTGGTCCTAGAGATTAATCTGGCTGCTGCTTTGTACTATCTACTGTTTCTAAAGAGACTTCAAGTCAACCCCAGGTACAGTACCTTACAGTACAGTATCTTAATCTAATGTAAAAGTTACCAATGCACAGACGATTGAAACCAGGCTATCCCTGTTCTGATGGGGCCACCAGCTGAAGCTGCTGAATGCATTCATGCATGTGAAGCCATTTGAGACTTAAGTGAAAAAGATTGCTCAGGAAGAACCCCCAAGCTATGAACCTGTTCCTTCAAGGGGAGTGCATCCCTATCCAGAACCAGCTGAGCAGCCTCCATCCAGTCATAGGAACTGTCCACTAACAATATCTTAGTCTGCCCCTCTGCACTGCAGCATGTTAGCCTTTGTTCAGTGCACTGGTACACCCAGGCACCAGCTTAGAAAATCCATGGTGCCACTGAATAGAAATGAAAAGCAGTAGAGCTGCATGTCCTCAGCATACTGAGGGCAATGCAGTCCAGAATTCCAGATGACCTTGTCAGCTGTTTCATACAGATACTGAATAGCATGGTGAACAAAAGTGACTCCAGGAGAACCATGGGGATGAGCTATATTTTCCAAGTGCTGCCTTCTAGAACTAGCCATCCAAGTAAGTGCAGAAGCAGTGCTGTGCAGTGCAGTGCAATACAGTACCCTCCACTCCTAGCTCTGACAGTCACTCCAGAAGGCTGCCATGGTTAATGATATCAAAAGCCATTGAGAGGTCCAGGAGTATCAAAAGGGTCACACTCCCTAGTCTCTCTTCTGACATATGTCATCATACATGGTGACCAAAACTGTTTATGTTCTGACTGGATCCAGATAAATCTTATCCAAAAGCACCTGGAGCTTCCAGATCTGGAAAGGATTTCTTCAGGAGTATTCTCACTCTTGCTTTCTTCAAAGAGCACAGGACCGCTCTCTCTTGCAAGGAGGTGTTAATCACCTTCTTGGCTCAGTTGGCTATTCCCTCCTTGCTAGTATTTATTAGTCAAGGGGGCAAGAATCTAGGACAGAAATGGTTGGGTGAACCCTTCCAAGCACCTTATCAATGTCCTTGAGCTGTACCAACTGAAGCTAATCCAAGACAACTGGATCAGGCTGTGTTCTGAAAAGTTTACCTAAATGAACTGCTGTTAACACTGGAATCTAAGTCCTAGAAGTGGCAAGAAATTTTATCCTGGAAGTGCTTATCAAATGTTACAATAGACCTCAGATGGACCTACAGTGTTAAGGCCAGGATGCAATAGGCCCTGGATGACCCCAAGAAGCAGCCCTGTGTGGCAGATGGAGGAGCATAATGTTGTTTTTCTCTCACCCTCACTGCCCCAAAGTGTACCTGATTATAGGCACATACCTGTTGGAAATGAAAGAGGCAGTTTTTCTTAACATGTGTTTCAGGGGCAGGGTCATACCAATTCTTCAGATGGGAAGGGAGGCCTGCAGACACAGAGATGGCAGAGCAGAGAGAACTTATCTCAAGGTTACTGTCTCCAGGTATCCAGGCAGACTCTGAAAACCAACAGGGTCTGGAAGTGCTGGGAGGGGACATGAGAGGAAAGCCAGAGGAGCCCAGTCCAATCCTTGACCCCCTGATGTGGCATCAGAAGAGAAGAGCTAGCCAATTAGAGGGCCTGTGTACAGATAGGAGGCTTGCCTGTCTCCAGAGGGGTACTCCCAGAGGGTTGGGGAGTCCAGGGTGACTCAAAAGCAGGGTTCTTTGAAAAACTTTCTTGTTTGAGGTTCAACAAACTGCTTCATGCATGCTCAGAGACTCTGCTGGTTATAGCTTTCAGGATATACACTAGACATAAAAAGCTTTTGCCAATGAACTGTCTTTTGCTTGAAAGAGAGAAGGGGAAACCTAGCTCTCAGCAATACCAAAGTTGACTGCATTCACCAGGAGTTTTTCTCCATCCACATTTAGGCTCCCAGCAATCCATTTGCTGATAACTCATTTCACCATAGCTGAAACTTTGCTCAACATAATCAACTAAAAAAAAATCTGTAGTTTTATACTGTTCATTGGTTATGTTAGAGCTGTTGTATTTCAGGAAATACTGAAGCCATGGGCAAAGGCAGAATGGGGACACAATAGTGGAATAGGACACAAATATTGGAAAAAAGTGAAATATATGTTATGCGTATTTCATTAGCAGATCTTAACTTATTTTTTTAAGAATGAAGAATGCATTATGTATAATTCAATCAGAATGTGACATTGCACTGTTTAATGTATAACCTTACATTTATTCAATCAATAATTACAGATATCCAATGCTGCAGTTAGGCCAAAAATTCCTGCATCTAGAGGTAGTTAAGCATAACTTTTGCCAATTAGAAAATAAGGGAAAAAAGTCATAAATAGAAACCATTAGTACTAAAATAAACTAAGGATGTAATCCAATCACTCCTACAGCAGATGTACATAAACCTCTGAACTCAGAGGCTTATGAATATCCAGTGTCAGGAGCAAGGTGCTGGCAGCCTACATTTTATCTAGACAGCTGTTTTGTGCCACCTAGATAAACAGGAAGCATGAGGGAAAGAGGCTAGGGTGCCAGCTGGAAATGGAATGAGTACTCAGCTTCAGTCTCCTCCCCTTCCTGCCCCCTGGCATACCCTTTATGCCCTCTCCTAGGGCCAGGTGTGAGCTCAAGGGGGGCAGCTGCTGTGATCACAGGATCTAAAAGCTGGTACTCCAAAGAATCCTATGGCATTCTGGGTGATCTCGAGAGACCATAATATTGTGCCCTAAATGAAATTTTTAATATCGGAACTTCAAATAATTCCCCTCATTACCATCAACATTATCCCGAAACAGGGAAAAAATTCAGAAATCCTCAACACTAGTTTACCAGAGGTGATAATGAAATGAGTGTACACACCACAAGCAGTGATACCAACTTTAATCTGTTTCCAATTCTCTGAAAGAGGGAAAAATCCCTTATGTCTGCTTGTAACATTATAGCAGTATCACAATGAATACTGAGTTACAATTTATGATAAATGTTCAGTATTGTGTCATAATCAAAGTTTGCCTCATGATGTTCATTCTTATTAGTTCACATGGCAAAAGAATAAGCTGGGCTTAAATTATTCAAGCGTTGTGTTGTGCAGGGAGGCTTTTCTGAGAGTTAGATAATCTTCAAACAGTCCCATAGTTAAGCCATGGTGGGCTGTCATGAAGTGTGAAAAGGTTCATCGTGCCATGTTAAAAAAACAATAATAACTTAAACAATTTTAACTATCTCAAGGCATCCTTGTTCCTGCTCCAAAAATTCAGCTGCTGGGCCCACTTCCCCAGAGAGCAATACATGAACTTAACAACTTTTGGTCTGGCTTCTCTAACCATACCTTTAACTAGCAGCTTCATCTGTAGCAATTAGCAGATGGTGAACATTTCTGGCCATACTGTTAAAACAAACAGCTAATTCCTGAATATCAAGCTGCCCTTCAAGAAAATTCATATAATTTTGCAGGCTATTCAGACAATGAAGTCTGCCACTTATAAGCTTCCCATGTTTGCCCACTGTTTCTTCTGCTTCTTCCACATAAAATTTATTAAGGAGGAAAAGTTGGAATGTCTTTCAACTGGTAATTTTCAAACTGTCCATCTGGAAACATCATATAGCTACACAAGCTGGTTTAGAAGCTGTTAAATACTTGCAGTACCAGCATTTTCTGGCTACATATCTAAACAGCAGAGATGGCTGCAATGCAATGCTTCTTTTGTCAGAAGCAAGTATAGTACTGCTGAATAAAGACTTGGAGAGTCCTCAGACTCATTTAATGTGGAATATAAACTGAATGAATGAATGAATGAATGAATAAGGCACATTACAGTGGGTCCATCTTATTGCAACAGCTTCTCCAGTCACCCAAATGGAGAAGAAGCATAGTGTCCAGTTATTCCAGGTTTGCCAATACCCGCAGCATTAAAGAGGGGGGAATGGAAAGCTGTAATATAAAAACCTAAACTGAAAGATTACATGCATATATGATGAAGTAATGGTACAAGACAAGGGGAGGAGTAAAATCAGAGTACAAACACTTAAAATGAAAATACTTTATCAAAATGACAAAATGAAATAGCCAAGCATACCAGCAGAGTACAGGAAGATTTCCTAAACAGCGGTTAGCGCCCACGTTTTCAGGACTGACCTCTTTCTTAAGTATTTCACTAAAATAAATGAGTTTCCCTGTGTGTCCCCGCCCCTTTTAGATCAGCTTATCCCTGACTCTCCTCCCTAACCCGTGTCTCCTGATCACCTTGGATTTCCGACTTCGTAGTCCTCTGCACATTTGTACCTCATTTGAAGGGTCCTTTCAAACTGCCGCCGTGTGTGTCACGTAACAGTCCCACCCGGTCACCTGTGTCTTCCTCCTAGTGCAAGCCACTGATTTACTGACACTGCCGCTGCTGCCATTTCCCGCCCCCCGCCGCTTTCTCACTAATTTAAGATTCCCCCATCCCTGACTCACCTCTCTTCCCGGCCGGCCAGGAGGCTGTCTTAACCCCATATGCCAGCTTGTAAAAGCTAAGGTGAAGGAAAGTGGAACGGTATCCCTGGATGCCAGCGAGGTACCTGCCTGCACTAGAAAATCAATAGGAGCGCGACCAAGCTAGAGGATACGAACAGGGATGATGGGGACAGGAAGTTCCCTTTATTCCTGCAGTCCGCCAACCGTTTGCTTCTCCTCTGTCTTTGGGTCAATATTTCCTGCTTCTCAACCTAATGTTGCTCTATGGTTGTAACTCTTTCGGTCTGCAGAACCTAAAAGGAGATTGCGGGAAGGATGACTGGAGCAAAGAAGGGAAGGCAAAGGACCCAGTATTTAAAAGTTGCTAAAGGCATGATCTAAACAAGACGTAGAAACAAGTCATTCCATACGAAAATGAACGAAGTTTGCTTCCGTGCTTCCAAATGCATTTGTTTTGGATTGAGCTGTACGGATTTATTTTGCAAGACTAAAGCAGAGAATATGAGGTGAAATCCTGACTGAGGGGAAATGTTTAAAACAGGGTTCTACGTCTAGCCGTAGGTTACCAAAGCAAGTGTCGTTATTTTATATAAAAATGAAGTGTAACTTTCAATGAAAAACAGGAGTGTACAATACATCTTTAGATTCAAGACAGGTAGCTGTGCTGGGTTGCAATTCTGTGCACATGCACCTGGGAATATGCCTCACTGTGACTATAGTAAGGCTAACTTCTGAGCAGATAAGCATAAGATTGCACTACCAGCCTATTGCAGCAAACCCCAGTGTTATGTGGAACCTTAAAACAGTTTTAATATCCTGTGTATGCTAAAGGCAGCAAACATGTTCTTAATCCTTGTATGAACCCTGTTACATAAACTAAAGGATGTACAAACTGTCCAAGTTCACTTAGTTCCCATCAGAATAGTAGGTGCAGCACCAATCATGACTTGAAGGCAAAAGAAGTAGTAAGTGTATTCAACCGAAATTCCCTCTCTCCGGCTAGATACCCTACTTGATAGCCAGTCTATGTTTGCTATTAGGTACGGGGAGCTCAAATAGGAATGGGATACTGCTGGAGTACCCAGCACCCCAAAGGCCTTCCTGCTTGAGTGGCAAAGATGACCTTAGAGGTAGTGCTGCTGACCCCAAGACTTCAAACTTTACAGCAACACCACTTTGTCTGGAACAATTCAGGATTTCATAGTTGCCATGTCAACCTTGGGCCTATTCCAAATTGTGCCTGGGTAAGTGCATAGGGCAGGACATTAATTAGATTTTTGGTTTTCCATTATGGACTGGAGGAAGCTGATCTGTGGGTGGAAGAGTCAGTAAGACAGTGCTGGCTTGGACACTTCCCTATCCAATCAAGTTTAGACTACCTGTTGCCTGAAACCTTTGTAAGGTTGGTGGGCTGATTTTTTTATTTTATTTTTTATTGTGAATTTCAGGCCTCTCATGTGCTTTGTCTTAAAGTTTACATTAATACTGTAGGTCAGATTTTTGTTATTTCCAAGATCCTCATTTTCAATCCTTGAAACTCTCTTCTTACAGCAGCACTGAATACTAGCTGTCATGTTCCAAGGAGTCCATTATATAGGTTAAGACACCCTTCTTTTTTGAGACTTTTAAAGACTTACTCATCCACCTAGGGGCTTGCGGAGGATCACTGCATATTTTGCAGAGTCACTGTTTCTTGTTATACTTGTATTTGTTTTTTGTATTGTCTGTTTTTAGCTGTTTAAAATGTTTTATTTTTTCTGATTTTCTGATTTTCTGATATTTTATTTTATTTCTATCACCTGCTTTTATAGACTATGTAAACTCCCCAGGAAGTGTCAGCTGTGTGGGGGTATGAAAATTAAATATAAATAAAATCTGATATAACTTAGACAACTTCCAGCTCACACTTTCTCTACTATAGTGTAGGCCTTAAAAGACACATCAGAAAGAGAAAGAAAGCAAAACCAGAAATACATTAACATCCCTCTTATAATTGCAGTATTTTTAGTTTTTTTGGGTATATTCTTAGTTTTGCACATGTAGGACTAGAAGTTTAGCATTTAATCCCAATAACCCAGGGCATATCCTGGTTGCTGAAAATGTCAACCATGGGGCAACTCTGGTTCTCCCTGGAGTGGTAAAACTGTCTCTGGGCTGTTTCAATTCCAGGTGCAGGTGGGAACTTAATCCATGCACTTTAGTTTTAAGAGGACACAGAAACAAGTTCAACATGTCAGTGAAAATTTGTTTGTAGTGCCATACAAAAATCCTTACTGCAGAAAGTTACTGAATTGTTTTAATAAAGGATTTGCAATTAGCTACTGAATATACTCAACTCACCAATCAAACACAGGGACAAAGTTCTACCTACCAATCAGAAAAAAAGATACTTTAACATGGTAAATTCCTTTGTTTTGAGCAGTAGGCATAAGCGTTTGATAGGGGCTATTTATAGCATATGCTCGTTGTTTTGTTTGTTTGTGGGGGTAATTTCTCCCAGTGATGGTTCATTTGGAGAAATTATGTGTTAGCTCCCAATGACAGTGTCCAATGACAGACCCCTCCCTAGGGTGAAGGGAGCCATTGGAAACAGTCCCCCCCAACACACACACATGGGAATCCCCAGTACTTTTCATGTTTCCAAGAAGCAAGCATGTTTGGAACAGTTGCAATGTAGAAGAGTTGCTGGGGAAACATGGGTTCACTCCTAAAGAAATTTCTCAGAACTGAAAAACTGGAGGTTTCACTTTTTCAGGTTTTTGAAGCATCTGACAGTTCAGTTTGACAAATATATTTGCAAACATTAATTTGGATATTTCTAGTTGTATATATAGTTGTATTTATCCATCCTGAATAAACTTTTTCAATTGTCTCTGGTGACACTTGGAGGGCCGGATAACAGATTGCTTGACTAGTGGCTTTTGCTGTCTCAGAGAGAGAGAGAGAGAGAGAGAGATGTGGCAAGCTGAAAATGGCTTGTGATCATTACAGGGAGGGAGAGAGGGAGGGAAACTCGGCACTTCCACAAGTTGCCTTGGGATACTAGTGGGAGGACTGAGTAGGGTAGGGAGGCAGAAGGTGAGAATGGGCCCAGAGTGTTCTTAGTCATCTGTCAGGGGCTTCGTGGGCCCCAGAGTGGTGAACCCACACTGCATTGCTTTTGTCATGGTGTGGGTTGTTGTGTCATATGAAGAGTGCTACTCATGGTGCTGAACTCCATCCTCATAATAGGTTCACCAACATGGACCACTATGGATAGCTCATAAGAAAAGCCACAAGAGGTGGCACTGACACAGCAGTCACCAGCTTCCTCTCCTATTAACTATAGACAAAGAGAAGGCATGCAACCTGGATTCTAACAGTATATTAATCTTGCTTGTTCCCTTGTATTCCAAGGAGTCACATGCTCCCAAGCGAAAGAGCACCATTTCTCCAACAGCGTTTTCATCTTCAGTGAGTGGCAATGGTGTTCTAAAGAGCCTGTCTCCCATGCCTGAGGAGCAGAATTGCCATTTTCAGGATTCAAATTTCATGTCCACCAAAGAAATGGAGTCAGGATCTGTGATCCCTTTGTACTGGGTTCTTGCCCCCAGGGAATGCATTTCTCCAGTCTACCACACTCGCTATCTGTACCAGTAGCAATTGAAGTCAAAGGAAAGCTAGGTCTAGATTCAGATCTAGGCTATCCAAAATAGTCCTTCCTAGCGTCATGTAGGACTATCTTGGCTGCTAATCACACATTTAATAGCACATGCTCATGGTCTGCTAATAGTGTGCTGTGTAACCCAAGAGGAGGGAAACTCATGCTGTATGGCAACTCTACATCCATAAGCAATGGAACTCTGCTGAAGTGCTACCAATTCACAAAACATGAACTGTGGCACAATACAAGCTCCTTTTTCTTGAATTATGCTGATCCATACAAACAAACCACTTGCAAGAACTGTAACACATATGAGGAAGCAGAGAAGCATAATCTACAAACCTGTCCCTGCTGAGAACTTAACCAAAAGGTTTTTCAACTCTCTGCTATGCTGTTTGTGTTTCAGCAGACATATCCAGAGCTGTTTAGCTGCCCAGGCCCTGGTTCAGGCCCAGTTCTCCTGAAAAGAAGCCAGATTCCTGATGGCATGACACAAATTATTTGACTCTCTAAAAGTGGAATATGAAAAACAGGATTTCATCATATACTATTAGAATATGAGTAATGGTTTGAATGGATGGAGTTTGAATTTTTCATGTCTGTGCTTTACCTTATTTCCCCACCTTGATATGGCTGAATCTCCATGCTTTATCACCAAATGGGAAATCCCTTGAAGAACAACATCCATGAATATTAACTGCTCAAAATGTTTGGGCAATTGCATGTTCATCCTTTTGCCTGTTCAAAGAAAAGACCTCTTATAATTAGAAGTATTTTAAAATCACAGCAAGCAATGTCAACTGTTCAGTATTTGTTTCATTTATTGCTTCTCTTCATAGACCAATGAGGATAAAGCAGAAAAAAGAACTTTCACTTTCTACTTCTGGCCATCCTTGGGAGGATTCCACCAACAAATACTGCATCCATCTTTCAATCTGTAGGCCCCACTAGCAATGATTTGTACAGCTTGAAATAGAATGGAAGCAACCTTTCATTCTGTGTGCATTCATTTCCACAACTCCTCCCCACAGCATGAGGCACTTCTGTTGGGAATACACAGGATGTGAAATGAAACTCTCTGGCTGTGGTTAGGCTGTAACTCATGTCTCCAATTAACTCACACAGCAGCTGGCCCTAAAACTAAAGACTTATTGCTACTTTCTACAAGATTTACAATGCAGCAGAAAATCTCTAGTGGAGAGCTCCTAGCAACACAGTTGCCCTCTCCTTTCTGAAGTATCTGAGAAGCCCACGTGGGATTAGATTTTCCTGTCACGTCTTTCCCTTCGTGGTTGGGACAAACCTCTGTCCTGTCATCTCAATTGGTCCAGGCGCAATTGATCTGGACGTCTTAAACTCCACCTAAGTTGGGCATTTGCCAAATTTACTGTTATATCTTCTTGTTCTCCTGAACTCTGCCCAGCAGCTTCAGAGTCAGGAGGCTGAGGGAGCGGGGGGGGGGGCAACTTGTTCAAGCACCTCAGAGTCAGGATGAAGAGAAGCTACTCGTTCAGAAGCCTCATAGTCAG